CAGAATTTTTTGAAATCTTTTGTAAAACGATTAATGCTTTTAATGTCACTTTCGATTAATTTAATGCATCCCGAGTGAAAGTGTCAATTTCTTTAAACACCAAAAAAATCTTACTGATTTCAAACTTTTGAATGGTGATATAGTTTGGTTACATTCTACATATGTTACATCTATACATTGGATTGTTTTGCTTTTTATCTGTTCAGCTTCTAACATGTATATTTCATCCTTGTTTTCACACTGATAATATTTCTCTATCTTTCATTTAGGAAGGGGCCTTGACTGGCTTCAGGAAGACGTATGACAAGACTGTTGCTCTTGGTCATCGCTTAGATATTGTTTTTTACTTGCTGAGGATTGGTCTGTTTTATATGGACAATGACCTCATCACCCGCAACACTGAGAAAGCCAAAAGGTACAGTATAGAGTGCAGACTTACTTAAATGCATCTCACCCTGAAATGTTGGCCTGACACTTGAACTCTGCATGTATGAACAGTTTGATTGAAGAAGGTGGTGACTGGGACCGGAGGAATCGCCTGAAGGTGTATCAGGGCCTCTATTGCGTGGCCATTCGGGATTTCAAGCAGGCAGCGGAGCTCTTTCTGGATACTGTCTCCACTTTCACCTCGTATGAGCTTATGGACTACAAGACGTTCGTCACATACACTGTGTATGTGTGTATGATCGCACTCAAGAGGCCGGACCTGAGAGAGAAGGTAAGATCTAGCCTATAAAAAAAAAACAGTATGTATACACTGCCATTCAAAGGTTTGGGGTCTGTAAGATGTTTTTTTTTTGTTTTGTTTTTTTTGAAAGAAATTAATACTTGTATTTAGTAGGGCTGTCAAAATGACTGAAAAACTAAATTTGAATTTTCTACTTAAATATTATCAAAATTTGAATTATATTCTAATTTAAAAGGCATAATTTCAGTTAGGGGGAAAAAAGCTTTTGGCTTCTCTCCTGAGGCCACAAAAGGGGGCATCGAGCAAAATATTATGCACGTTTCTTCAAAGCGTAATAAAATAAGACTATCTTTGAAAAAAAGTGCATAATGTTTAAAATAATGTTTATAAACCATATATAATTAATAAAGTTGCTTAAACAATTAGAAAAAAAACAGCACCATGTATGTATGTATAGTTTAATACAAATGACCGAAAACCAATCACAAAGGGTACTTTCTTCGTTTAAAAACATGAGATACAGTGGGATGGGGAAAAACCGCCATAACGTCTTTAGACATGTTTTTTAAAAGTTGAACTTGCATTAATTTTTCATGGCTTTCTACACATGCTGCTCTCTGCGAGACGCGAGTGCAACGGTGATAGATGTCCCTCTAGAAAATGTGATAAATATGCATTCTGTGTGAACGGCTTGGTTTCAGTTTTGCCGTAAACAACATCTTCGCCACACTGATGCTCTCGTTTTCCGCAATATATGAATGAACAATGTAGCAGCGCCGCATCTAGTGGGTTCAACTGGATAGGCTAACAAAAGCATTAAATGCAATGACACTTACATTGTCGTCGCATTTCGTGCGCCACTGATAAGGCTGCCTGACGTTTTTGCATTCGAATGTGATTTTTTTTTTTTTCTTTCAAATATTCGAAAACTTTTCGACAGCCCTAGTATTTAGTAAGGAAGCATAAAATTTATTAAAAGTGACAGTAAAGATAATGTTACAAAAGATTTCAATTTCAAATAAATGCTGTTATTTTGTACTTTCTATTCATCCTAAAAATCCTAAAAGAATCCTTTAATCCTAATCCGTTTTGCACAAAATATTAAGCAGGAACTGATTTCAACATTGACAATAGTAAATGTTTCTTGAGCACAAGATCAGCATATTAGAATGATTTCTGAAGGATCATCTGACATTGAAGACTGGAGTAATGCTGCTGAAAATTCAGCTTTGCCATCAAAGGAATAAATTAACATTTTTAAATATATTGAGATAAAAATTGTATTTTAAATTGTAGCAATTTTTCCCAGTATTACCGTTTTTGCTGTATTTATTTATTAATAAAAAAAACAGCCTTAGTGAGCATAAGAGACTTCTTTAAAAAAAAAAAATATCTTACAAACTTTCAGCCTTCCAAATTTTTTATTTAATTTCTTAATGTTAAAAAATTATAGTGATCAATAGAATTAAATAATGATTTAAGACCAGTCGTTAGAAAGCAGAATGAAATAGGAAACTGTCTAAAAAGTTAACTTTATTGAATTTAATAAAGCTGCTTTATTGGATCACATTAATTTATATTTGATGCATTTCGCAGACACACTTATCCAGAGCAACACAAAGAGCTTTATCTTCACATAAGAGATTCAAGTTGTTGTGATTATTGCAAGTGTGCAATTCAGAAAAGTTGCCTGCTTGGAAAGGACTTCCTATACATGTTATATGGCCAAAAATATAGATACAATTCAATCTAATAGAAATAACCAAGCTAACACAAGAAATAATGGGTTTTCTCAGGTGATTAAGGGTGCTGAGATCTTGGAGGTGTTGCACAGTTTACCTGCTGTCCGTCAGTACCTCTTCTCTCTCTACGAGTGCCGTTATTCCGTATTCTTTCAATCATTGGGTAGGTAAAATATTGGTGAGCATGCTAGTAGCTCATAGTATAAACCTTTAAAGAACAATTGAGGAAAATGTTATTGCTTACCTAGCCACGCTTAAGATTAATGTTGTAAGCTATGTTGTTATTTTTTGCAGTGTTTATTGAAAGTGCTTCTCCAACTCTGCTCTTCTGTTATTGTTTAAAAATGTGTTGGTCAGATGTTCCACCTGTTTCTCCTCTGTAGCTCGAGTGGAACAGGAGATGAAGCAAGACTGGTTGTTTGCTCCTCATTACCGTTACTATGTCCGAGAGATGCGCATCCTGGCCTATGGCCAGCTGCTGGAATCCTACCGCTCCCTCACGCTGGGATACATGGCCGAAGCGTTTGGAGTCAGCACAGAGTTCATCGACCAGTACGCGCCCAGATTCCTATAAACAACTATGTAAACATACAATATTTCTAGGCTTACTTTGGTCTTTTTCTTCCCCAAGGGAGCTGTCGCGATTCATCGCCGCAGGACGTTTACATTGCAAGATCGACAAAGTTAATGAGATTGTGGAAACCAACAGGTGAAGACCTTAATATTTGTGTGTATTGGTTTAAATCTCTGTTGGATCTGTAAGCCAACTGTCTTGTCTTTTTTTCCCCCCAGACCTGATAGTAAGAACTGGCAGTACCAGGAAACCATAAAGAAGGGCGATCTTCTGCTGAACAGAGTGCAGAAGCTGTCCAGAGTGATCAACATGTAGTCCAACATATGGCATTTGATCGATACCCATGTTTTTTCTTGTGAACAACCTGACTTGTTTTATGTAAAGTATATAATAAAACTGAATTGGAGGAAACGTTTGAGCTTGTCTTTGGTGTGTGAGCGAATGGGAAAAAATGAGTCCGACACATTTTTCTTATAAATAACTATAAATTATTTTTTTTTATATTTACAGAAACTTGTTACAAAACAAATATACTATACAATCTTTTCTTTAAATATTAAGCAAATCTACCCTACTGTGTTTGTTCATGAATTACATAGCAGCCAACACACAAAAGTCCAGCTGATCAAATGATTTTTGAATATGTATACAAAAAAAGACAGGAAAAAAAAAATCAAAATATACACACTTGTACATAAGTTTATATGTAGAGGCTTCTTCCCCAAAAAGCAAACTGTTTTTTATCTTCGATTCACATTCCAAATCTGTGGTGTTTAATCATATCTTCACAAAGCGTTCATTATCTGAAAACTGGAGTTACAATTTCAAGGTAAACAGTACATTTATCTGCCTAAAACATTGGTTGAAATCACCAACTTAGCCACCAAAATATCTATCCCTCTCGCTTTGAACATTTCTAATATCAAAAGTAGTCCTAAAAGAATACAAGGGACAGACAGGAAGATTTCTCATGTCATTGTCAAGTAAGTGTTACTCCTCTGCCATGCATTTCATCAATCGGAGTTACCGCTCTACTTGAAGGGGAAAAGGGCGATGTGTGAGATTGCTAGGCAGGTTTAAAAAGTTTCTAAACCCTTATATAACATTCAAGTACTGTGAAAAAAAGAATACATGAAATAAAAAGCTCTGCCATAACAACAGTTGATGAGAAACTAATTCAGGCACTTTCTCTTTTTTTTGTCAGCGTTAAAAGCAAATGAACAAGTAATTAAAAAGCAGTGTATCCAATTACAACATTTGGCAACAGTGGTGCACATTTTGCACTGTACAACTGTTTTGTTCCCTCTCCAAGTTAGAAAAGTCCTACAAAATACATCAGCCAGCCAGAAATCTTTTGCACAGTTAAACGGGCCATTTTGATCACATTCTCTGACCTCTTGGTTTGAGATGGGGAGGAATCATGAGGGAAAAGGAGCACTACTGACACCTAAATAATAATACATAATGATTCCCCACTACTGTGGCAACAATCTGTCCGGGGGAACTCGGTGTGTGACTAACAAGAAGCTGTGTTCGGATAGAGTGGCGTATTGCATTATCGGCTTGGCAGTGAACCACTTCTAATAATCTTAGAATGTTTCCATTTACTAAATAAATAATAATGATCTCAATTGTACCAAAAATCGTTTACGAAAATGCCTGTGCAAAAATACATCTCCATATGTACAATTCTTTAACAAAATATGTATTCTGAAATAGGGATAATTCAATATTTGTATTCGGTTTTGTGTACGAAAAAGCAGAAGGAAAAAAATACACAAACAAAATCATGCTCTACTTCTCAGCGACCATTGCTGACTGACATCAGTGGAGTTCAGGAATTTACAGGAGGTTTAAAGAGAAGCCCCAACTTACACAACAAAATCCAGCTCAACATCTCTTATGAAGATCAATGAGTCAAAAAAGGATCTATTGCCTTTAAGTCGACAGACCCACAATAAAAACGAGATTTAAATCAGAATGTCCAGCTACTAACCTCTTTAGGGTCACAAAGAACAAAAGCTTTTGTCGGATCCATGCAGAAACGTTGAGTCGCGGTATAAGGTCTCACTTGATGAGATGGCGCTGGCCAGACTTCTGTATATGTGTCTCACAGTATTGAGTGTCGTGTAGATGTCTACTCCATTGCTGAGATGATAGTGTGTCTGTAATGTTGGTCTATGGCTCAACATCAGCTAGCCACGAGCCCCTTTCTGAGACTGAAACGGCACATAACGATACCACGCCTAAGGCATCTTCACCAGTAAACTCTCCTACAATCATTTTCGAACGAGACTGCAGATTTTAGTGCATTAAGATTTCAGCACATGCTTTTTTATGGGTAATTGTAAGAGGTGAAACTAACGCAAGGTGTTCGAGCTTGATTTGGGGTTGGATTTTTCAGTAAAAAAGAAATTGCAATAAAACAGCCGGAATTAACTAAATAAATAACTAAAGTTTTGAAGTTGGTAAATGGTAAAGGAAAATGGTATATGATAAATATTTTGTTCTGTTTGCTAACCTGTAAACAAAATGTGGTCTAAAAAATGTTTAGTTTGCATAATCTTTAAGTTTAGGTTGCTCATGTTGAAACTCCACTCCAGTCATGTCTATCTGCAGTGAGTGTAGTTTAATCTAATACAGCCTTCCAGCGAGAGATCATGTGTATGGTTAACTTAAGTTGATTGTGTCTACTTTAGGGATGTTCCTCTCCTGTACACTTCCTCCAAGGCTGAGTAGGATTTCGGTTTCCAGTATTCTCGTATGTCCACACGCTCAAGCTAACATACCGAAGAACATCGGTAAAGCAACTTATCTTGTTCGAATCTCACATCCCTCCTATGCTTGGTAGTGTTGGTGAGGCTACGCACCAGCCAAAATCTGTACCTTCCGGCCCCAGCGCAAGTGCTCAGGCTGGGCAGCTCATGATCTACGCAGCAGGCTTTGTACCCAATGGTGCATTGTATAGATTCATTATAACTTCCGACAGGAGAACTATATCTCTCTGGCTTATTATCCTATCCCCAGAGAGTGTCCCTGCATGGCTTTGGGAGGAAATCCCCACGAAGGACATCAATGGGCCACCCAGTATGCATTCCACCCTGAGGATTGTGGGAAGAGTAAGAGAAAAAGAAGGCCTTGTGCAGAGTGGCATGAGGGGGCTGAGGGAGCTCTGGGTCCAGCCTACTGCTCAGCATGCTCAGAGCCTCCACACCTGTGTCAGGGACGAGCCTTTGGCTGTGGGAAACACACACACAAGTACAGAAATGTAATGTGTAAGAGGAAAGAGACAATATTACATTCTAAACTAAAGGAAGGAATCGGATGCTGTTATTAACCTGATGTATGAGTGAATTGTTAGGGAGCCCTGGTGGTCCAGGTATAGAGCGAGCATGCTTGCTGTGGATGTTGTTGATTGATGGAGACTTGGATATTTTGGGCCTGCCAGGACCTTGTCCTCCTCCCCCTCCTGCTCCAGACGCTGTCAAAATCATTACAAAGTTAAAATAAGAGACAGCACTTTTTATAATCAAGCAAACAGCATATAATAATTATTTCAAGTTTACTAATTAAATTGGGTTTCTAGCGTTTCAGGACTTTCTATAATGATGTGAATACAGAAAAAAGAGATCAAGTCAGCCTGACAGTTCTGTATGATCTCTGTTCAGTTTTGAAGTAAACTTTGAAGAGCGGCAAAGTGAAATTTAACAAAAAACTTGATTAGAACTCAACTGAAATGAAACAACTGCAACATTTTATTTAACATGAAATGAAATGAAAACGTAACCGGATCAAAGTAAAACTGAAATAATATAGAAACTGGATTAAAACTACAATGAAGTGAAATATAAACTAAATGAATTCTATTCTATTTCTGATTAAAATGAATCAGAAATAGAATAGAAATGGAAACTAGACTAAATTACTATTAGACAGAATGAAAAAAGGACAAACCAAAATGAGATGAAATAGAAACTAGATCAAAATAAACTAGATCTAAACAAAGCAAATTAAATTAACTGAAATTAAATAGAGAATGGATAAATACAAAAAAAAAAAAGGTATTTGACAGCCTGGATTAAAACTAAACAGAAACTGGATCAAAACTAAACTGAAATAAAATAGAAACCAAATTAACTGGAATGAAACAGAAACTGAATACTAAAATAAGATTAGACAGAAATCTGGATTAAATTTTAAACTTGATCAAAGTTAAACTCAAAATAATGCAAAATTTAAAAATCTAAACCAAATAAAAAAAATGAAATAGAAATTGCATTTAATACTACAATGAAATGAAACAAACCAAATTAAAACTAAAACTGATATGAAACAGAACCTGAATTGATACCAAAGTGACATTAGATTCTCGATTACAACTAAACTGAAATTAAACAAACTGGACTGAAACCAAAATAGGATGAAACAGAAACTGGACTAAAATTAAAACGAAATTAAACAGAAACCAAATGAAATCTGAAATGAACTCAAATGAAACCAAATCTAGATCAAAACCAAAATGAAACCGGAATCTGGATAAAAATAAATAAATAAATAAACCAAACACTAGGATTATACACCTGTGCTGTTGAGGCTACTTGAGCCAGGTGAGCACTTCCTCCTTTTGGCTTCCAGACGTGCATCTGCGTGATGATCGCTGCTCTGGTGAACAAATGGCCCGAGGGAGAGGGTGGAATCACTGCTGTTCATCACCACGCTCATGCGTTTAATGGACTCGGCCGGGCTGCCTGAGGGAGGGCCACGTCCTGTCGACTCCTGCTTCAAGCTCAAAGAGTTGGCCCTGCCTGGGGTGCAGTTTACCCCCACACTGTACACTCCGCTGTGGGATGACGACAGCGTTGTTGACGATGAAGATGAAGAAGGGGTGGAGGCGAGCGAGGTGTGGTAGGCGCTGCCAAGACTGGAGGAGTTCATCCCGCAGTTCTTCTTAAAAGATGAGGAGGAGGAGGAGGAGGTGTAAGTGCTATGGGTGGTAAACAGGGAACTGTTTTTCCGCTTCTTGCCCGAACTCAGGCTACCGCTCGCACAACCGCTGACGCTAACACTGCTGTTAGTACTGCCCGTGACGATAGAGTTACTTAGGCTGAAGGATGGCTCCCGAGCCTTGAAGGACTTTGTACCAGATCGGGATTTGAGGGGTCGGTTGGAGCCCAACGAGGGTAGCGAGGACGAGTGGGCTGAAGGCATCTGGGGTGATGAGGCTGACACTTGTCTAGAAGCGCCACTGTAGGCGGGCTGCTCGGTGGCGGAGGCTTGCGGAGAAGAGCGGGCATTCAGGGTGGTGCCATATGACAGGACCGGCTTGCTGTCATAAGGCGGTGGTGAGGACAGGCTGAGAAACCCTGCAGAAATGGAGCAGGATGAGGAAGAATGGGAGTTTGTGCTTGTCCGGTGAGAGGCTGTCAGTGTTGTTGCAGAGTTCTCCGACGCCAGAGGGATTTTCCTACAAAGTAAATGCAAGAAATCACAATTAGGATTCTGTTTAATGGAAAAACAGCTGATTGTGGGAAGGGTCTCACACACACTTACTTCCACATTTGTGAGTTGACATGTTTGTCCAACATGGTGGTGAGAGTACAACGTACTTGATCCCAGCGCCGGTCGAACGCGTAACAACCTCTACCGTACAATCGACTTCCAAAAGTGCAGTACTGGTGAGAGACACAATATAGATGGTGATTAAAATGCAATGGTTGCCTCTGGTTTTAAATGGAAAGAGCACAGGCAAAGCCTCAGTTTTTTTTTATATGAAGAGACTTCTTTTGTTTGTATTATTTATTTATTTGATTTGGGATTTGTTAAAATTTCAAGTTAGTTTAATTATTTGATACATTTCAATTTCACAAAGTAATGTGCAGAATTCTGTCGGAGAAAAATAAAAGGACACATTTTCATTTATAATTAGTCCTAAATCTCATTTTGTTAAAAAAAAATCCTACATTGGTACATGGTACTGAACATCCTCTTCAGGCATTTAGATCAAGGCAGACTCAAACTGAAACCCACTTTAAAGAGGGTGGTCACAAAATTGGATTCAAATGAGGCCATGGACATTCATTTAAACTCGTTTTAAAACAGCTTAGTGATTCAAAAGCTGGAAATAAATGCAAGTGACTTTCTAAGCAGGCACTTCAGTTTGAGAAATTCACTACTTAAAAAAAAAAAAAAAAACTCCCTAACACTTTAAGATCACAAGGTTTCTTGTACTTACAGCAGCTGGTCGTGGGTGGTAACCTGAATAATGGCAGTCCAGTTTCTCCGTGGCCTCCTCTCTCTCCTCATTCTCCCCTTCGTCACTGGAGAGGTGGCTGGTCTCGGTACCGACAGGGGCTGAGTGAGAGTGGTGGGTCTGGTCGTGTGCCATGGCTGGGTCTCCTCCACTGTGAGAGTTACTGCTGTGGAGTCTGAAGATACAGAAGAGCACGTTAACCTTTATATTGGTTATCAACCACCCGAACAAAGAACAAAAAAACAACTGGAGATCTATAATAAATTTGGCTAATGAATCAAAAGGAAGCCGGTTTAGAGTAAATAGTGGGGCAGGAGGAAGCAACTCACCGTGGAAGCCCAGAATTATGAGGTTTGGGTTTGCTGAGGGGCAAAGGCTTGGTGGCATCGGCAGTGCCATTGCCATGGGAGACCGTGTGAAGGTCTTGTGAGAGGCGGGAGGGGGGAGGGTGAGGGTCCCTGAGAGGGGGTGCTGGGTGTGAGGGATCCAACCTGAACTGCAGCTCCTTGTCGCGTGCTTTGCTCTTGTGTTCAGCAAGCAGCGTGTCAAAGCGTTGCCGCCGCCCGAGCACCGCCCTCCTCTGGCTTATGGAATGTGTCTGTGGTGAAATGGGGGGGGGGGATATTTAACAGTTCAGTCAAACAATTAAATGATTGGTTCACATACTCAAAGAAATTTGAACATTAGGGACATCCTAGGTCTGAAAAATACATTGGTGACCATATTGATATAGGCCAGGATCATTCTGTTTAAGAAGATATTTAGAAATTAAATAAATCTGGAATAATATTTGAACTTTTTTTGGTATAAAATTAATGTTACATTGGTATATTATTATATTAGAACCCAATTCAAAAATAAAATGCAATCTCAACCGAATATTTTGCTGTATTATTAATTCTATATTTCAATGTAATTAATTAATTATTTTTAATATAATAATAATGTAATATCTGAGCCTTTTTATTTTTGCTATTTTATTAATGCTCTATCGCCATATTATATTATGCCGATATTCAGCAACAATAAAAAAAATACACGAAATACAATATAATATTTGAGCTCATTATCTTTGCTATGTTATTGATGCTATATTGCTATATTACAAAATAACAAAAATAAAAATCTCAGATACATACATACACACATTATACACACACATATGTGTGTTGCATGTGTGTGTGTGTATATATATATATATATATATATATATATATATATATTTGTATTAATGCTATATTATTATATTAGGACGATAATTCAAAAATAAAATAAAATATCGGAGCTTACTATTTTTGTTGTATTATTAACACTATATTGTTATATTATTAGGGCAATACTAAAATGTTTTTTTAAATAAAATGCAGTACAACATCTAGGCTTGTTCATTTTGCCAGGTTTTAAGTCTGATTTAAAACATCTGACTGAAAGTCTGACACTTGAAGCTTTAGTCTGAATGATTTTGTTGGTAACACTTTACAATAAGGTTCCATTAGTTAAAGTTAGTTCATGTATTAACTAGCATGAACAAACAATGAACGATACATTTATTACAGTATTTATTAATCTTTGTTAGTGTTAGTTAATGGAAATACAGTTGTTCACCGTTAGTTCATGTTAATTCACAGTGCGTTAACTAATGTTAACAAGCAGAACTTTTGATTTTAATAACGTATTAGTAAATCTTGGAATCAACATTAACTAAGATTAATAAATGCTGTAGAAGTATTGTTCATTCTTAGTTCATGTTAACTAAAGTAGTTAACTAATGTTAACTAATGAACGTTATTGTAAAGTGTTACCGATTTTTTAATACTGATTATTGGTAATACCATAATAACTTCCTATTTGTAAGTACCAAAATGTCCAGAGTGCATTCAAAGTGTATTTGAAGTGTACATATTTCAAAGTGTAGAAGGTGGCATACCTTGCATGTTAAGGATCTTGTGCATGGCTTACGTGCTGTCATATCCATAACCCCACAATGGATGTCTGGATTAAACTCTCGCTCTGATTTAAGGAAAATAACAGAACAGAACACACAGTTAAAAAAAAGTTCAAGAAAATTGTTATTATTATTATTTTTTTTTTTTTTTAATTTTCTGTGACATATAACATAAATATAGAGTACCAGCAGTGAGTATTAGCATTCACCTAGTCTCTTGTACAAGGGTCTCCTGCTACTGGCACTGCTGCTATCTTGTTTCTTGTCTTGGGATGAGAGGTGGCCCTTTCCATTGGGGATCTGACCTGGGGCTAGCTGTGGAGCCTTTGGTATGGAGGGGAAGTTAAGGCCTGACTTCAAGGGAGAGGTGCTCACAGTATTGGAGGAAGAGGAGGAGGAAGTGGAAGAAGAGGCGGGCACATGGGGAAGTTTGGGTGAAGGTTCCACCTTCAGATGGACCTTCTCTCCTTTAACTGCAGGGATGGGACTGGGAGGCAGAGAAATAAAGAGTTTTATATTGTACCAAATGTGGGTGTGTGTTTCAGATTACATCTTTTGTGTTACGCAAGAATGGGCTGCTTATCTGAACACATTTATCCATGAAATTCACTTAAACTCCATCAAACACACATACACACCTCTCTTCTTGCGGCACCCTATAGGGGAAGCGAGGCTTCCAGTGAGGCAGCTTCTCTTTGGTTGATTTGAAGATTTTAGTGGGGGTGCTGCTGTTTGCACTGGAGGGGCGTGCAAGTGTGCTTCCACCAACAGCCCCGACCCCAACTCCACCCCCAAGGCTGCTCTTATTTCGAGAGTTTGCGAATGCAGCAGAGGCGGCATAGCTGGATGGGGGCTTGCTGCTGGAGCTGTGTCTTCTCTCTGAAGGGCAAGAAATTTGCAAGGTTTTACTCTTTGAATGCTCAAAATGTTGAAGGCAAAAGTAAATAAACGTACAATAATTTTTACATTTTTATTCAGATTTTTTTCCATTCACTGGTAAATTAATTAATTAATTAGTTTAATGTTTTAAGGCTGCCAAAGTTGAAAACTGGTATCATTTTAAAAAACGACGTACAATTTCTCAACAGTCAAACATTATTGCCATCTAGTGGCATTTTTATGTTTAATGCAGGTGGGTTGTAAAGATTTCAAGATGTATAATATAACTACATATAAAAAAAAAATAATAATAATTTTACTTAAAACTTATTTGCCTTTTAACATTTTAGTTAGTTCTGAGTATTAGGTTAGGAAGGCATTAGATTTATTTTAGTTTCAGTTTTTTCCCAGTTAACCCAATAACACTAATATGTAACATAATGGAACTAATATGTAACATAATAAATGACAAGCATGTTTTGAGTTTCAGTTTAAAAAATGCAAATGGAAAACAAATGCTTCACTTTTGAGGATTGACAGTGTTTTGGACTACAAAAATCTTCATCTGGCTTTGCACTTTGTCCAATACATCTATTTTAATGGGAAGTTGACTAAACCTTCAGTTAAGCTAAGAAGATTAATACTTAGACACACATACAGACACTCTCCACTTCTAAATACACACATTTGCTTTCTCTCAGTAGTAATTATAAGACACAAATGTCCAAGTGCATTTAGTCAAATAAGTGAACCGCTGTGCTGCACTAACAAACGCTCTGGTCTCTCCATACTTGCCTGTCAACAACACACACACACACAGTCCTGTTGCTCCGGCCTAGCATTTGTCACTAAGCCCTCCAGCAAACCGGAGGCAAACACACACACACACACACACACACACACACACACACACACATACTAATCTGTGCTGATAAAACTACAGCAAAAACACACACACACAAAAAATAAAATAAATTAAGGACACCAGAAAGAAATCATATTTATTTCTCACAGACGCTTGCAGCTATATGCTGGGTTGTTGACGCTGCTCTGAGAAAGTGAGCCAACAGCAATTTGAGTAACCAAAGGCCCAATCAACAAAGCCCTAATTACCCCAAAACAATCTGCAATATCATTCCGCCCCATGTTGAAAAGCAATCTGGGATTATTGTAAGGAAACTGAACACCAAATACCGCAACCTGACAAATGACCACAGGGAATTACCGACGTAAAAACAAGAGCCTTGCGCAAAAGAAGGATGATTAGTGTGGACAAAAGCACAGTGTAGAAATGTACCATTTTGAGCTTTTTTTGAAAGTGGAGAACAAATCAAGAAGCCAGCATCTCTTCAAAACTTCTTGTCTCTAAAATAGTTAACAAAAAAAAAAAAGTATTATCGATTAGTCAAGATCTTTCGTCAGTGATATCATTTTGCAGAAGTAAAAAATATATTTCTAAAATGCATTTGAGAAATGGCGGATGCCACAACCAATCTAATCTAAGTGCTCTAATATTGTGTATGAGAGTACACATTGTGATGATGATGGTGATTTATAATGACATAAAATTCTTATAACACAAATATTTACACTTTGCAAATGAGCTTGTTATAACTGCAAATTTAAATGTCGCTATCATCAATAAACTTGAAATACTACAAATAAAGTGGGCAAAATATTTCAAGCAGATCACAGAGAAAGGGAGTGCAATCTTTCTATAAGTATATCTGTGCATCCTGGTCTAATCAACTGGGGTGCAGTGTGACTGCAGAATCCAACAACATCCACAAAAGCATAATTTAGTAAAGTGAAAGATAATGTACAGTCGGTCAATTCAAGCACAGGAGATGTTTTGAGACCATTTTAAACTGATGAACACTGAAGAGGATACAAATTAGTTTCTTATTTAAGAAGGTAATAAAATTCATAATAATTGAGCAAATGTCTCCCGCAAAGTGTTTAACATGCAAATGTTCAACAAGCAGATCTAAACCACCCAATAGAAATGATGGCAATATAGATTTAAATACATATATACCAT